CGGCCGGGGAGGGGGGTCCCCCCGGGCCCCCTCCAAACCTCACCAGTAACCGGAGACTGCAGCAGACTCAGGCCCAGGTGGACGAGGTGAGTCGGGGCGGGGGGTGCCAACGGCGGTGGGAAGGAAGGAACCTGAGGGTTGGCTAACTAGTGGGGGGTCCCCTTGGACGGGGGGGACAACAGTTCCTATGGGTGAGTTTGGAACAAAGACGCCAGGCCCCCTTCCTGCCCGCGTGCGCTCGGAGGGTTAGCCTCGTTAGCCTGGGGCGTTTCAGCCAGGGGCCCGGCCGCTCGGACGCCACCAATAGAAGAAGGTGCTTCGAGGACATCCGAGGTGGCTGCCGGCCTGCCGCCCCTGATGCGTGCTCCTTGCATGTCCCCAGGTGTGCCAGGCATGTTCTGTGCGCGCCCTTGGCATGTTAACCTGGAAACGTCGGGGTGCATGTTCTGTATGTGGGCACATGGTCCGGGAGCGCCCTCATTGAGGTGGGCCTTGGCACACCCCCTGCCTCGTGGGGCTCCCCTCCCAGGTGGTGGACATCATGAGGGTGAACGTGGACAAGGTCCTGGAGCGGGACCAGAAGCTGTCGGAGCTGGACGACCGCGCGGATGCGCTCCAGGCAGGGGCCTCCCAGTTTGAAACAAGTGCAGCCAAGCTCAAGCGCAAATACTGGTGGAAAAACCTCAAGGTAAGGGTGGAGCCAGGTCGGACTGGGCGTGAATGGGGGTGTCACGGTCTGTCTCACTGACCCTCCCCTCTCCCCTCCAGATGATGATCATCTTGGGAGTGATTTGCGCCATCATCCTCATCATCATCATCGGTGAGTAGGGCAGGAGTAGCTAGGGCCCTTTGGTGAGATGTCCCCTCTAAGTTCTGGGTTTTGAAGGTCATTAACCTAGTTTTTATGATTTAGCATAAAGCATATAAAGCTGCCAATGGCAGTTCTGATTCATCTAGAGCCCAGACCTTGATGATGTTTAGTCTGCACTTTTCCTGGTTGTGGGCAATTTCTATTAAGATTTTTGGAAACAGGAAAGCTGATGGATCCCACTGCTCTCTTGAGGACATTTTGGGCCTAAGACCCCAGTCTGGGAACCCTGGAATTGGGGGGTAGGAGAGCAGGAAAGGCCCTTGGGCTTGGACATGGCTAGGAAGCCAACCACCCAGTTCTTTAAGAGCTTGTGGTCTCAAGAGGCCCAGAGCACTACCAGTCTGGTCTGCCCCAAGGCCATACTGTGGGGTTGAAGAGACTTTGGAACCCACCTGTCCAGCCCCCCCTTGCTTGACAGGTGAGAACCTGAGTCCCAGAGGGGAAGGGTTGTCAGCCAGCTGGGGAGTGGGTAAGGGGGGAGCAGGGCCAGGCCTGACACACTGCTTTCTCTCCTCTCTTTCTCCCCTCTCCCTCTTCCTTCTCTTTCCTTCTCTATAGTTTACTTCAGCTCTTAAACCCCTGAGGAGCCAGCCCAGAGAAGGGCCTCTCCCCCAACCCATCCCCAGCCGCTCCTCCACCTCTCAGCCATATCTTCCAGCCCCCCATCTGTGTGTGTGTCCGTGTGTGTGCCCTCCTGTAAATAGCCAGCTGTTATTTATACATATATAATATTATATATATTTGGTCTGTTTGTAGTTTTATTACTAGAAGATTTTTCCGGTTGTCCTTAACACCCCTTCCTCAGTTCCCATTGCCTTTTTCTTTCCCTCCTTCCTCTTCCCTCTTTTCCTGACCAGCCCCAAGTCCCTTCATTTGCATCTGCTATGCAATAGTCCCTCTTCCTCTCCTTTCCTTGGATTTAGCTGATCCTTCCTCCCACCCTGTCCTTCCCCATATCTTCACCCCCCTACAAAACAAAACAAAAAGCAATTGTCCAGGCCTCCCTAGGTGCATCTTCTTTGCATTATTTGGGAGGCTCTGAGACTGGCCCCACTTGGTCCTGAGAATCCCAAGGTCTGGGAGCGTCCAGCATGTTAATTAGCACTCATGTGCATACTGGCAACCCTTTTGGTTTTCTTCTTTTTTGTTAACATCACTCTGTTCATTCTTTCAGCCTGTGTTTTTGTGGGTTTTTTTTTCACTGAGGAGTTAGTCCCCACTGGTCCTTGTATCACACTTTCATTTGCATGACATTAATTGTAGGTGTTGGGGAGCCTGGGCTTTTGGGAAGCCAGGCTGTTCTGGCCCCCAGAATCATCCCTTCCGAGCCCCTCTAGTCCAGTTTGCCTCTGCTCCCCCTCTTTTCCAAACCTCTTGTCCCCTCCTCTCCCTCCCCTGAGCTGGTGTGTAAGTGTCTTGGAGTTCAGTATGTTATGATGGACCGATATTTCTGCCACTTGAAGTTTCTCCCCACATTCCTGATCCCCAGTTTTCATGTGGGGCGCTCAACTGACATTCCCATGGGGTCTCCCCCCCCTCCCATCTGCCTGATCTTCCCCCTCCTCCTCCCACTAGGAGAGTTGGGGGTTGGCCACAATCTGATCTCTTTTGGGAGAGGTGGCTGCCAGTGTCTGAAGGGTCATCACTGCCTTGGAGAGGAGTGGAGCAGGGCAGAGAATCTCCCCAATTCCTGCTGGAAGTCTCCTCTGGCCCCACCCCTGCTGGGGATTGGACTGAAAACCCTCCTCCCCAGTTTGGAGGGTGTTGCCTCCTTCACTGCCCAGCTCCTCTGACTGCCCCCCCTGAATTCAGGGCGGGGGGGTACTAGTCACTGCCAATGTGTGGGATTTGCTGGAAGATGAGGATTCTTGCCCCTCTCCAGGGTGGTCAAGCCCAGAGAGAGAGACCTGTCTTCTCCTTAGGTGAAGTGATAGAGGAAGGATCTAATGTCTTTTTAAATGGCACAATTTTGGGGGGGTCTGAGGGTGCAGTCCCTTAAACTGTCACTGGAGGGGACCCCCCCCCAAACTTTTCCCCCCACACTCAAGGTTTCTGTGTGGACAGGGAGCAGGGAGATCTAAACTGTTGTGTGAAAGGGTAGGGAGAGATGCTGGGGGTGGGGGTGCTGTGCTCTAGATCCCCCCATACTATCCCAGTGTCCCCTGCCTCCCCCCTTCCCTCACTCCATGGCCCCAATTCTGTGCGCATCCAGATTGTGAAAATGTACAATAAATGTGTAATGAGTAAGTGGTGTCTGTTCTAAGATTTTTTCTTAACCAGTAGGAAAGGTACTGGGTCTTCAGGTTTAACAGGAATGTTAAGAATATACATTGGGCCCTAACCGGTTTGGCTCAGTGGTAGAGCGGCGGTCTGCAGACTCAAGGGTCCCAGGTTCGATTCCGGTCAAGGGCATGTACCTTGGTTGTGGGCACATCCCAGTAGGGAGTGTGCAGGAGGCAGCTGATCGATGTTTCTCTCTCATTGATGTTTCTAACTTTCCCTCTCCCTTTCTCTCTGTAAAAAATCAATAAAAAATATATTTTTAAAAAAAGAATATACATTGGGAAGAAACTGAGCTTTATTGGAGGGCCTGACCTTGGGCAGGGCAAAGTGTGGTTCCCAAAGTGTCCATCAGGGGGCACCAAGCTTTAATGGGAAGTGTTGATGCTTCCCTTGTCTCACCCTGGTGAACCTTGAGGTCTAAGTTTCCCAGTTTTCCCTCTTCCCTTGCCTGAGGGTATGCTCTTGTCCTTTGTTGGATTTCTTTTACCCCTTGATTTAACTCCCAGATGCTGTGCAGTCGTCTTCTGGAGTCATTTACTCCTAGGCCTGAAGTAAATGGCCAACTTCTATGAAATATTTCTTCCCCTTTGTGCCTAGCACAGTGCCAGCATCCAGAGGGTTAATAAAGACTTACTGAACAAGGCCCTGGCCTGGTAGCTCAGTTGGTTAGAGTGTCCTCCCGATATGCTAAGGTTTCGGGTTTGATCCCTGGTCAGGGCACATACAAGAAGCAACCAATGAATGCAAAATTAGTGGAACGACAAATTGATCTCTCTCAATGAACAAATCAGCCTAAGGAGACCCAGCTGAGGGTGGTGTGGAACTGGCTAGAGATGGCCTATTGCCCCTGCACTCTGTTGTTGGGCACCGGACTCTGGTCCCTAATGTGGCACCCTAGCATTCTTGTCCTCAAGTGCCATTAACAATGGGTGGAGAATGCTAGAAGAGCTTGTGGGGCCCGACTTCTCTGGGCTGCAGGCAACCTAGATAGTGTTTCCCAAACTTGTTGGCTCCTAAGAACTATCAGGAATGCTTTTTAAAATTTTATTTTTATTATTTTTTTAAAATATATTTTATTGATTTCTTACAGAGAGGAAGGGAGAGAGATAGAGAGTTAGAAACATCAATGAGAGAGAAACATCGATCAGCTGCCTCCTGCACACTCCCTACTGGGTATGTGCCCACAACCAAGGTACATGCCCTTGACTGGAATCGAACCTGGGACCCTTGAGTTCGCAGGCCGACACTCCATCCACTGAGCCAAACCGGTCAGGGCTTTTTTGTTATTTTTTTAGGAATGCTTTTAAAAATATTTTTTATGCCCTGGCCCCTGTGGTTCAGTGGTTAGAGGGTTGGCCTGCACACCAAAGGTTCCTGGGTTTGATTCCCCAGCATGGGCAAGATCCCCCACCAGTCTATGTGTATCACATTGATGTTTCTCTCTCTCCCTCTCCCCCCCCAACTCCCACTCTAGAGAGAGCAATGGAAAAAAATACCCTCTGGTAAGGATTAACAATAAATAAATAAATGATAGATTTTTAAAAATAAATATTTTTATTGATTTCAGAGAGGGAGAGATAGTTAGAAACATCAGTGAATGAGAGAATCATTGATCACTGCCTCCTGCACGCCCCCTACTGGGGATCGAGCCCACAACCGGGGCATGTTCCCTTGACCGGAATCAAACCCAGGACCCTTCAGTTCACAGGCCGATGCTTTATCCACTGAGCCAAACCGGCCAGGGCTAAATGATAGATTTAAAAAAATATATATTTTCATTGATTTCAGAGAGGAAGGGAGAGAAAGATAGAAACATCCTGCACACCTACTGGGGATGAGCCTGCAACCCAGGCATGTGCCATTAACAGGAATCAAACCCAGGACCCTTCAGTCTATAGGCTGTTTCCAGTAAGTCAAACTAGCCAGGACAAATAATAGATTTTTGGGCCCCTTCTCTGGAGATTCTGATGCAGCAGTTCTAAGGGGCTGAGGTGATTCTTATAATTAGGTACACAGTTATCATTTATTGAGGGTTTATTATATTCCAGTTAGTCTTCAGGGCTTTTTCGCATTTCATCTACCGAATACTTTCAAGGTTTAGGGCTCCCATAGGTCGTAGGATCTGCCTTCTTTATAGTGCTAGGGCAGGGGTGGGCAACCTTTTTGTGAGTGCATGCCAAAACCAGCAAAATCTCTGACTCAAAATTTTTCTGCGTGCCAACCCTAATTTTTTAAGAACAT